ATGGGTTTCACAGGAAGTACCATGGATGGTCCTCCATCAACCGCCTTGCCGCGAGCCTTGCCTTTACCCTTGGCCGGCACGGACGGAGCAGCACCACTACCACCAGCCATCAAGAACAGGGAATATTGGAGAGGAGAAGAAAGACGAAGAAGACTGGTAGGTGGGAAGAACGGAAAGAGAAGACAGAGAAAATGAAGTACCTGGTACTCCTTTGGTATCGACCTTAAAAACGACGGAGTTGTCGGAAACGGCGACAACAAGGGCAAACGGAGGTGGTGGAAGCAGAAGTGCAGAAATTGTCGTGCACAAGAAGCCAAAGAAGAGAGAGAATGAAAAAGAGTAAAGTGAAAAGGGGAAAGGGCGCGAGAGAGAGAAAAGTGGTTTCCAAATTTCAAACGGCCACGACACGTGTTAGCTAGGGAACACAATTGACGACACATTTAATGAGCCCCATTATGATGGGCACAACCATCATTGCATAACCGTAACTTCCCATTAACACGTCGTCCACGCGTTATGGGAACGAGGTGACGGTTATGACACATGGCATCGTGACAGACAAGCGTACGCGAAGGGTCACGGCCCCTTGTCGAGCTTGGTCTTAACTCCTCGACCCTCGGTCTTCGGAGCTCTGGGGGCTAGTGTACTATCTGTACCGCTATGCCGAGCTCGAGCTCGGTATCACAGCGCGGAGTGACCTCGGACACGCGCTAGGCGACATCGGCCCACTATCCAATTAGGTCACAACTGATCTCGGGCCCAAAGCCCAAATAAACCCTAATTCATACTAAGGTACGTGCATTACTTATACGAGACCCATACATCCACAAACACTAACTTTAGCATCGGAGTCTCTTTTGCAGGTACCACCTCCATCTTGGAACAGCAACCGTATCTAGTGAAGGAGGCTCACCGATCTTACCAAGCAGATCATCCCTGTGAACGATCTCTGGTAAGAACAATCTCTATTATTTTGAGATTCTTATTAAGTACCTTTTTTTTATTATATGGTCAAGTTATCATGACTAATGACACCCACAAGTTTATTTGATACTATTTTAACATGCGACATTTACAAATTTTTTTATAAATCTTTGAAGTAAATGTTATTTATCTACTTTAAAATGAATATTACAACCAAATAATATGACTTTAGATTTTAGAGAGATGCAAATAAGAAAAGTATTTTATTAGGACCAAAACAAAAATTTGTTCATTTTAAGGAATAAAAAACAACGATTCCAAATTTTAGAGGAATGAAAAATAAAGAAAAAAAATTTGTAAGAACTAAAATAAAAATACATTTTTTTACAAAGACTAAAACCATATTTAAAGTAAAAATATTTTATTGATCATGGAGTTACTTAATTATAAGTTACTAAAATATTTTTTTCCTTTCTTCCAAATGTATATTATTATATATTTGATTTAAAAGGTATTTTATATAACTATAACCTGTTGAGATTCATGGATAGTGAATCAAGTTCTGAAGGTTTTGATGATAACAAAGGTCATGAATGAACAAAGGAAAAGACATGAAGACCATGAATGAATATCAAATGTAATAGGAGTAGTTTATGTGTTTTTATGTGTTATGTTTCTTTGCTAGTCAATTTTATGTTTTATGCATGTTTATGAGTGTTTATGCTTTGTGCATGAGTCAAGTCTTAATTATGATTGTCTAAGAATAAGTATGATGATGATTGAGAATAACTTGGAGAGTTTCTAGATGTGTGAAATCGAATTTTGAGAACTAACTCAATAATCGATTATTACTAACTATATATCGATTATTTTTGCTCTGTTTTTCAATAGTTGAGAAACCTTGCTGTAATAATCGATTATCTGTGAAATAATCGATTATCCCAGAATGTGCTCTCTAGAATAATCGATTATCCTATAAAATAATCGATTACTCTGTTCTTAAATGATTTCCAAAAATCTTGAAGAACAAAAAAATTGATTATCCTTAAAAATAATCGATTTTCTGAGTCTGAAAACTTAAAAAAAAAAAAAAAAAAAGGATTCTCTCAGTCAGAAACTTGGAGAAGAAAAAAGAAGGTGATATTGTGCAAATTTTGTGATATACTTTTGATCTTTATGATCTTATTTGAGAGTTTTCTTTGTAAAACCAAGAAGTAAAACACTTTGTGAAATGTTTTGAGAAAATTCATCATCATCACTACATTCTTGGAGAGAGGAACTAAGATTGGTCAATAATTCATAGTCTGATCTGTTTAGTTTTCAAGTGAATTCGTTCCTTAAATCTTTTTGTTTATTGTGGTAAAAATCTTGAGTAGGTTTCTCAAGTGGTAAGAAATTCTTTTAGTGGATTTCTACAAGAAGTACTTTCTTTAGTGCAAGAAAGGGTTTATCTTCTGTATGTGCATGTGTAGTATGCTTGTAAAACTTATTCATTAAAATAGTGGAACAAATCTTGATCAGGTTATGATTGAAGACTGAATGTAGGTCACATGTGGAGTGACTGAACTAGGATAAATAACTTTGCATTCTTCTCTCACCCTTATCTTTTACATTAAACAATATTTACTTGAATGTTAAAATGGCTGCTTATGATTGATATATACTTGTCTGATTAAAATGGTTTAAATTGGAAATAAACATTACATGTTAAGTTTTTTTTTTTTAAACTGATTCAATAAAGATTAATTAAGAAATCATATAGGAGTCATTCCCATATACTTCGAGGTTTAGGGTTTAGGGTTTAGGATTTCAAAATATTTCACCCCCTCTTAAATTGAGCCATTTTTTTCTAACATAACCTACTAAAATTATTTATAATATTTGAAATATTTAATATGATAACTTAAATTATATTAAAGAAATATTTTCACTAAAATAATAAGAACTAGTAATTCAAATTTTTTAATATTTATTTATTTTTATTTTATTTTCAACGTATAAATCTTAAATAAATAAAGTATAATATTATATATTTTTAACATATTTTTTTTAAAATAGATTTTTAAAATTACAAAAATCAAACTAAATTATAAAATATTGATTTGATTTTTTAAATTTTATAATACATTCAAATTGAATCAAATCAATTCCCACTTTATTTTTATTTTTTTATTTGACTGGTTTTTGAGTAAAAATCCGAACCATATCGCACAACAGATACTCTTGAACCTCAACCACTCCTTTTTGTATTAATGCGTAATATACGTTACACCCCATTCAGAGGCATAAAACCTGCACTGGATTAAGCATGCTATAGGCTACCAAATGGCAAATTTAGCCCAGAAAAGGTCTAGTTGTTACACAAGATAAAAGAATAGGGTGCTTCACTAGCCTAGCCATGATTTATAAAATTATAAAAATATATATAATGTGAAGGCCAGAGAATAAAAAATAAATATACATAACGTGAAGAAAAACAAAAAAGGCATATACAATGAGCTGGACAGATAACTCCATATCTATTGCCTTAAGTACGTGCATTTTATATGATTTCTCCTTCTAAGGATATTCACATAAAAGATAAAATCTACAAATCAAGATATATATGCACGGATTACAAATACAATAACGAAGTCAACTTACGCATGTAAAATAATTTTGTCCAAGTTTAGCACTCCTTGGCCTTGCCATGACAACCACGGCGATCGACCCACTAAAACCGCATTCAAGTTCGAACAATTAAAGTAACTTTTCTTTAATCATGTAATAATACAACATAATTCATTGGGCTAACACTCATTTAGAATAGGGTCCCAAGTAATTAATATCAATATCAAACAAGATATAGAGTGGCTATTGCTCACGGATAATGAAATGAGAAATGGGAAAAGTCTACGCACTCTAGATTGAAGATTTTTTAATATTAGTCAGATAACAAAAGACGACAAAGTAATTTTAAATTCTCTTATAACATCGATCCTCATATTATTTTCTATTTTTATAATAAATATGTATATATATATATATATATTTATTTATTTATTTAAGATATTTAATATATTTATTTTTTATTTAATATTTCTCTATATAATAAGAAAAAAATAAAACAACCCACAAAGTATTTGAAAAGTTGAAAGATAGAGAAAGGAAAATGATAAATAAAAGGTGTACATTGGGATTGGCAGCGCCATGGCATCATCTAGAAGCAGAGTCAAATTCCACCCAAAAATATAAAAGAAATAACAGTAATTAATAATAAAATAAAGAAAGTACTATATATATAATATTTTACATTGGTTGGTCAACAATTCTGCCCAAGTTAGCACCTAACTGTCTGCTTTATGTCACTTTCGAGCCTCAGCATGCGGACCAAAGAAAAAAACTGCTATCCGTGTTCCTACGGGTGTGGTGTGGTGTGGCTAATTTCTTTCTTTCTTCTTCTTCTTCCTTTTTCATCTGATTAATTATTCAATTCAAGAAGAAGAAGTGTTTGGGAAGAAGCGTCCATGATCCATATTCACAACCCCGTCACGATCATTGCTAACAACATTGCTTGTTGGAGGATTATTGTTGCTTAGTCTCTGAAAAAACATGTTGTCTCCGCCACCACCGTACAAATTGTACTGTTGGTTTTGGTTTTGCTGCTGAAACATGTGTTGTTGTTGTTGATGATGTTGATGTTGTTGTTGTTGGAGGTGCTGGTAGCTTATAGGAGGTGGCGATGATGACATGACGAGGGTGGTTGGGGTTAGAGGGCGTGTGGGAAACCCAAAGCCCATGAGGTTTGGCAAAGCCTGTGGTGCTGTTGATGGAGCTCCTGCGAAGCCCGCACTTGGGCCTCCTGTGAACTGTTGGACCATGGCCCGGAAGTTCGTAGTGTCTGTGTTCAGCAAGGTGGTCGGAGTTCGCCGTGAGGCCCGGGAACGGCGCCGGGTGGGCTTTGCCACGCGCCCTTCCGGGCTTAAATGGGCCGAGCTTGTCGGACTTGAATTTGGCATGTCCGATAAAGGATTAGTGGCAGCGATAACAGTGGTGGTAGCAATAGTAGTAGTAGTATTGGGTATTGGAGGTGTGAGACTTTGGTTATAGAATTGGAGCCAGTCATTTGGACCAGACATGGTTTGGGTCATGGCCAACGACCATTGAATGGGATTATGGGAGGAGTGGAGAAAGGAGAATTGAGTATTGGAGGAGAATGGAAATATATGAGATGAAAGAAGGTTTATTTTTGTGTGGTTTTGCTTTTTAGGGTTGGTGAGAGTGAGAGGGAAAGAAAGTTGTGCGTTGAGCTGGGTATTTATGGTGGGTTTTCTTTCTTTTTATTATTATTTTTTTTTAAATGGAGCTTTCTGTTTGGTATTTTAGTCCGAAGTGTGAACGTAATGGAAGATCCTCACTCCGGATTTGGAGAAAACAGTAGGTTAGATTCGGTAGGCGGCAACACGTGACATGGCACGTGAGAATAGCTTGGACTATAAAATTTACTTCTTTCTCACGTTTTATTAGGCTTGTCATTGTACGGAAATTTATGTATATAAAATCTTAATAACTAAATATGCATATGGATAATGTAAAGTAAAATTATTTTACCAAAAATGTAAAATTATAGATTAACTGTAAAAATTTTAAATTATTTAATTAATAAATATAAATATTTTATTTAACTTGAGCTTTATAAAGTAAGTACTGTTTCATTTTATTAGATAATTAATTAAATTTGTTATATAATTTAATATAAAATCATTAAATTCAAGTAATAAAATAAAAGTACAAGTGATGATATATGGAAAATAGATAAATTAAAAGCGTTTTATTTTTAAAATAAATAATTTAATTTATAATATAATGTTGAATTTAATTGGCTATTTTCGAATTAATTGAATTTTCCTTTAATAACGCGAGGCTGCCGCGTTTAATTCTCCGACGGCAGCCATCTTTATGAGATGAAACTCCATTCAAGAGTCATGGCTTTTTCTATTAACTAACTGTTAAAAAATTTACTTCTAAAATGACTAAAATTAGATAATAACTTAATATGATAAAAGAGTGAAAAGTGTCAACTTTACAATAATAATGTTTAGTTAAAAGAAAAGGGAGTTATTAACAAAGATTTGGAAGAAAGAAGAGAGATTTTAAAATATTTTTAATATAATATCTAAAATATCGTAATTTATATTATTAAATTAAAAAATTATTAGGATATTAAACAAAAAAATTAATTACATTTTTCCTAATCAAAAAAAATTTTAAACTTTTTTTTTCTCTTTCTTTTAGATCAAACAAAACAATTAGAACAAATTATACTTTCAAGTCACAAATAATATAAGAAAATATTACATTATTCTTTTTTTATTATATTAAAATTATATATATATATTTTTTTTGAAAGACTAGAGTTCATAATATGTTGCTTCATTTCTTAATTTTCATTAAAAAATTATTAAAGTTTCCTCTCTTTTTGTGTTAAAATGCATATTTTCATAATAGATACAAATATGAATAAATACCAAATTTGATCCTTGAAAGATGATTGAGATGGTTGTTAGGTTCTTAAAAGATTTTTTTGTGACTTTTGGGTTCTTAAAGTTTTAACTTTACTATGCAAGTTAATTTTTTTATTATACTCAATTATCAACTTTGTTAGTTTCTTGATGAGTTAACAGTTAAATATTAGTTGATTCTGTTTTTTATCTTAGTTAGTTGTTCTTTCTCCTAATCCCCCAAATATGGATAATAATTCAAGGTTTTGGTACTTTTCAATCAATAACACACATATCTTAGTCATGTATAAATATATATCTGATCATGACTACTAATTAAAATAGAAGGTTGTTATTGAATTTCGTAGGGTTTCCTATAGTTAAATTTTTCTATCTTAGATATCCTTAATTTCTTTGTCTGTATACACAAATATAACCACAAAGACTTAAAAAAAAAACACCATCACATCTAGAAGCTAAAAATTCGGGGTTTAAGCCAAAAAGATGGTTAACAGCTTCAAAGGCTAATTAAAAACAAAGCATAACCACACATACAACCTACCTCAAGACTAGATGTTGATCAATGAAGAGGATGGCTAGTTTGACGTTATTGATTGAGATTTCTCTTCAACAATGTCTTGAATCATTGTATTGTAGAAATGAGTTTTGCGTCTCATATAAATTAGTTTTACGAGTAAAATGGAATAAGAGAATGAGAGTGGATAGGAAGTAATAGGTCATTCAAATATCTCTTTAACTATTTTTAAATTTAGAAAGAAACTAGTCATTTTAACTATTTTTAAATTAAATTAAAAATAACATCTTACTTTGTCACGTGCGTAAATATACTTGGTTTATAGTTGTTGCATGCCAATTGAAAGAAAGTAACTGAGTATACCAAAAGGATTAACTCATATGACAAATTAAAATTTAGAGATTTATATGTTACAAAAATCTTTTAAGGACCATCAGTCACCTCTATCATTTTTCATAGACTAAATAAGGTATTTACTCATACAAATATATTATATTTCACTATGTGTATATATATTATAATAATATTTATTTTAAATTTTTATTATTTTTTATTATATTTTAAAAAGTAAGATCATAGTTTATTTATAAAATATAATTGATTTATTCAACTGTATACATTTTAAAGAAATTAGTAGAAAAAATTATATTTACTCTTCATAGATTTAAATATATATTACTATTATATATTATATATAGAAAAGATATATAAATTTATTTCATTTAGTTATCGTTCTCATGAAATATATTACAAAGTAATTAAATTGAAAATAAATTATATATATATATATATATATATATATATATATATATATATATAAGTTAGA